AGAAAGGCAAAGGCTGAATGTTTTTTTTTATATTATCGTAAAACCAAGGAATATGTTCATTTTCCGCTAAGTAATTTTCAACGTAACTCTGTAGAGTTACGTAATTTGATTATCAAATATAAAATTCAGAATATTTGCAATTCTAAGTAGTAGTTATTGATTGTGTTACTGTTTTAGGTAACCGTTAGTGTAGTTTACTAAGGTCGGTCTAAATAGGCAATAATTCTAGAAAAGTTTCATGTCCAGTACCGTATGTACCCCTAGCACGAACCAATACTGAATTGGAACTGTTCGCGAGTGCGAAATGCCAATGTCAATTTTTGTATGGAAACCTGAACAACAGCCTCAATGGACTTTACGAGAACTAAAAATCAGTACACATTTGACAATGACATTTCGTACACGCAGACGTTCCGCATTCGATATTGGTTCGTGCTAAGGGTACAGATCAATCTATAAGCTGATTAATTCTGTTGAATAAGTAGTAGATACGTAGCTACTTTTAAGGTTTTCTAGAAATAATACAATATCTTATCTTATACCAGAAAAATCCCTGAAGTTTCAGAATTCAAAAGTACCATACGTTTGAGCACAGAACACAGAAACCTTTTTGTGCGTGTCCTCTGTTCTGTGTGTAGGAGGATAAATTTAAAATTAATAAGGAGGAATCATATTTGATAAAAGATCTAAACACCTTTATCACTTCCGTGGCGGCAAAAGTTGTGAAATGGTTTATTAGACTTTTCATTTATTTCATATCTGAAGCTGTTGATATTGTGTCGCGATGTGTATCACCGATTCGTGACATGTAGGTCGTGAAATCATCAATGTGGTGTCAGTTTAAAAATCCATGTGTACATTTCCCACAAGATTTAGAGATAGGGTGTTAATCAGACATAGCTACTCAGGAATATTTATATATTTTTTTTTTGACAGCAAAAACAAATCAGCTTATTAGACAAGATAATATAGATAATTCAAAGACTCAAAACCGTGCAAATGTCACACTATAATATATTTTCCATTCGTAGTCACGAACCAGGTAATATCATTCTGAACAGCAGAGGTTATAAGGACAAGTGAAAATTAAAAAGGTCACAAACCTGTTTTTTTAAGATAACATTATTAAATATAAGGGAGATAAATTCGCCCTGGGAGATACATTAAAAGATAATTATGTAAATAAAACTAATCACTGAAAGGTTTCCGAGCTACAGTAGCGTTATTCTGATGAACTGACTGTTAGTAAATAAGTTTTTTAATTATAATATTATTTCCATTTGCTGTATGAGAAGTCGTTGATAATTAATTAATTTGACTAGAGGTGTTTTACGTATGCACTCTTTAATTATAATTGTCATTGTTTATTATTGCACTTACATAATTTTTTTTTTGATAAATGAAATCATAAACATGTAATTGATAACGTTAAATTTAAATAAGTATTGCGATGGAACTATTGTGAAGATTTTTAAAGTAAATATCTCAATAAAATTAATTATAAAAACATTAATTATTGTACAGAAAACATTAAATCTAAATGTTATGCGCCATTTGTTGGTTCTCTTAAGTTATTACACCTACAATAAGCCTACAATACGAGAACCTTTATGTTCAACATTCTACATATTGTCTATATGGGTGCACCATCAAATCAGGCATTCACGACTCTTCCGAACCTTGTTTGCCTTCGACAGCTTACATATTACCGTTCAAGTGTAGTAGGAATTACTGCAAAACCCTCTTTATACCTTAGTAGTTACGGTGCTGCTGAACTGCGTTCTAATGTTGTCAGTGGGTCTAAAATGCGGAGGTGCTTTTGGTACTTACAAGCAGGTCTTTGTAAGTGCGGCCAGATTAGAACGAGCTACTTCGTCCCCCTCGTTGGCTGTCACAGATGGGACTTGGAGGGGTGTTGTGAGCGTTTTGAAAGATTAGTTTATGGCAGTTTTTAGCACGAGGTCGTGCGACAGAACAGTTCTTGTGTAGACACTGTGAAACTCTGTTATTGGACAGAGCAGCATTCAGTCGTGTGTTGGTCTGTCTTTCAGTACATTCTTTGTTGCTATGAATCGCGACTGTAACGGACTATCTGTAAATTTTTTTCCTATGATACGCAGGCGTGAGCAGATGAATAGTCAGTGTATTTGCCATTAGACATGTAGTTGTGTATGCTTTTATCATAACAGAGTTAACAGACGTGACAAAATTTATTTTGGAACAACAATATTGATAAATATGAGCACGTTTATTTTATGTTAACTACACACCTTTACCAAACATATCTTAAGATAATTTTAAACTTTTACTTACTTGTATGTATATGAGAATATAGTTTGAAATTTTCACGTACAAATAATATTGTTATACAATAAATATACCAAATCAAATTAAGTTTAGATTTTTATTATGCATGTAATAAACCGGATATCCTAAAATCTTAATTCAACCTTTCGTGGAATAACCAGAAATAGCTCAAGCATTCGTCGATCTCTTAATGACCTTTATGACATTAGTTACTGTTATTAAAGTTGCTAGCATAGCATCCGTCATCAATGACATCATAATGGGTGTGTACAACAACAAGCAATCAGACGTTGGTAATGGGTGGATAGAATAAATGTATTTTGTCGAAAAGTTATACTAATAGAGTAATCATACGACATTTGTTTAAATAACAAATTGTAAGATAACTATGTACAAATACAAGTGCCTTGGTGTTCTTAAATTAATAATTGCAAATGATAATATAATAGCGGTAAAATAAACTGGGTCTATTTAAAAATAACGAAGTGTCTGCAGCAATTTATTCTCCAAATTCTTATAACAGACACGGAGCAAAAACTTCGTCAGCTTCTCAAGAAACTCGTTACGGACTTGAAAGGATATCAAAGATCACCACGTCGAAATGAATCATGTCACGACGACCTCTTGGCGATAAAACGTTTGACTCCAACCTTCTGGGAAGAGCATCTGTGCGTCGGCGCACTGCGAGCGATGTGACCAGAAATATTAATAACCTTCACAATAGATTGAAGACTCATGTGAACGGAAGAAATAATAACTCACTTGACTGTAATTTTCTACAAACTTGTTCAATACAGTAAAATCTATGCAAGTGTTTAATTAAATCATCGGTACCATAGTAGCATCTGCTATAGAATTGATTATACCGTTCGTTTCCATACTAATGCTAATCTAAAATTAAATCCCTATACACGAATAATTATCAATAAATTCAATCGAATGTAGGTATCCCTATCGGGCGATCTTGATTTGAAAAGAAAACCGGTTCCGTCCCAATCGAGGTCCGTCTAACAAAACCGTATGAAGTTATTACCATTAAATTATTTTAAGACCGTAGCCGGGTGCATTTGGGTTTTTGCATGACAATCAAATACCTACCACGTAAGTTTAAAATGTTGAGATCATTTGCATGGGCCTTAAGGGCAGCAAAATGTTGTTTTATTCATGCACTCTCGAATCTGGCTGGCGTTTCTTGTTTGGTAACCAGTCGCTGCCGAATGGTGCCAACGAGATATTTTTTTCCGTTCGGTGTGATATTTTGGTTTATCTTGGTGTGTCGTTCAGTGTAAATGTTAGCAGTAACATTCATTATTTACCTTTTGATTATGATTGTACAAACTTTCCCTGCGTGTAGAATTTATATCATAGTTGTACAAGTCTTTCGACGATGTTCTCCTGACCTCGTTTGACCCATAATTCAGTAGTAGACAGTTTAATCTTTCCTGAACGCAAGGAAAACCTTCGTTGCCTACAACTAAATTCCGAGAACATATTTCAGCCCGTTTTTACTTCAAGTGGGCGGCACCGCCTGATCGTAGATTGTGTGAGTCAGATGATATGGGTGTGGGAACTTGTATTATTTTAGACACGTGTATGGCTCTAAGGTTTATCTCGAATTTAAGTATATACTTTGCGTTGCTGCTATCTCAGCGTCTGGATTCTGCGTCGCCCTAAAGTTGGACGTAAGCCAGTGCCTAAAATCGTACTCCGGACATAATTCGACTATCCCACCGCGTTCACACACCATATCTCTTATTACATTCGCTGGGTTCCTGGTACCCCTGAGACGTGAGGGCATTATGAAAGTCATAATAACTCCAAATGTGCTGTATGCGACCGCGACGCGACCCGAAATGGTTCGAAATAACCAGTAATCGTCTCTCTGATGGCAGATAAGCACAAATGAATATGTAACGCTCGTCCTCCCACGACAGAACACAATAAAACCGGGCCTGACCCTATAAAAATAAAAACGGGCAATTAATATTGTTTATTCGCGTCCGTTATTCAGAGCAGCGACAGTAACAAACGATGTCTGCATGAATTAATGCAATCCGAGTATGTTGTCTCTTGTGAGCAAGTACTGCGAACCGAATGAGAAAAGCCGGTTGTGTAATTCCCTATACGTGTAACGGGACATCCAGTTATGATAATCTTAGCCGAATTTTACGAAGCATCTGACGTAGGTTTGAAAGTAGAATTTTGTAGAGCATTCGATAAAGCATGATTATCGGATAATTTGAAAAATAATGTATAAAAAAATATGTACCTAAATATCTACTTATTTAGTAAGTAGGTGCCTAACTAATTATAATTAGCACTAGAGTTTTGGCATACCGCAGGGTAACACAATAGGGCATACTCTCGCAAGTTCTGCATTTCAATGAATATGATCCTGATCGGTGGAACGTGTCGAGTGCCACTACCGGGTTATCGATATCGTGGGCTGATAAGTCAACTGCTTGCGTCATATACATAATAGAAACTGGGGTTCCGCACTGATGACGGTGGGGCCGGGGCGCTCGTGCCACTACCGGCCCTAGTCCTAATCTCCTGAAACTTTTACGAGCCGACGCATGAATAATTCCCGAGAGGAGCATCTATCGATCGCACACGTCGAGGTTTTTATTTATACGGCGCGGGTGGGCGAGGCGCATATTAGTAAACAAGCGCAGGCGCGCGGCGGCACTCACCGACTTGTAGCACGCTCTCCACGCAGCCGGCCTCCAGCAACTTGAGGCCGCGGCAGAAGGCGATGTTGCGGTGGTCATCGGGCGGCGCCCGCGCCAGGGACGAGTACATGCATATGTCCCGTTCGTCCCTCGGGAAGGACCAGTACACGACGCGGCGTTGCACCGGCTCCGGGATGCGTTCATAGCGCTCCTCGATGCGTTGGAATGGGATGTTCGCGGCGACGATTTTGGCCGTGATGTCGAGCAACGTCGGCGGGGCGCGCGGCCGGCAGCAGGCACGCGGCGCACACGCAGACATGGCGCTCGCTCGGCTGCTCGGCGCGGACTGACGTCGCCCGCTGCCCCCTCCCGCGCCTCGCCCCGCCCTCGGCCCCCTCCCGAGGATGCGCGGCCCGAATCGACACGCTGCGATAAATTATTCATTTGGCGGCATAATGTGCGATATATTATTAAAAGTTGGCATTTTTGTGTTGTTCTAGAGGCGACGAATAAAATCGATGCCATTATGGATTCGTTTGATGTGACTAATTTGAAAATGTCTACTTGTATTGACTATACTTTAGTAGTTTTGCGATTTTAAGGTCACCCATTTTTAATTCATATACAACATCCTTCCCTTTATAATTAACACTCTAAGTGCTCGGTAACCCAATTACAAACGATTTATAGTACAAGTTGTATAGTAGTTGTTTTACGAAAAATTATGTCAGATTAACAATAAACCTAACACCAGACAATACCTGTAATTAATACGCTACCTAGAAATGGGAAAAGAAAAACTTTCGCGAGAGTTACGTTGAAAAGAAAACAAAAGAAAAGAGCCCGTTTCGCGACTAATCCATTCGGGCCCTGCCTCCTCACATTACACAAACGAAGGGGAAAGGCTGGCGGGCGCGAGGGGGGAGGACATTAACAGCTGATGGCGGCTCGAAGGGGGGTGGGGCCGTCAGGTGGCGACCTGCTCTCAGCTGAGATTTCCGCGTGCAGCGCTGCAGCGGATGAATTGTGCGCGGTGACGTTGACCTTTTTGTTTATATTTTTTTTTGCTTGTAAGTAGTTAGTCATTTTTTTTGTAGTCGAACATTGTCGCTTGGACTTCAGCGATTGTGGCTATAGTAGGGTGTTGTATTGTTTTTTTATCAGTGCCAACGGTGTTATCGGAGTACGGATTAAAAAAAAGTTTTCCATGCACAATTTTAATTTTTAATGTTTTAAGTAATAACTGTGAATTATATAACTTAGAGAGTTAAATAGAATAGTGAACATGCGTTTTAGCAAAGCTTATATTTATAGAATTTTTGAAAGAAATTTTGTTATTAAAATATGTAGTTTAAACACTAAAAAACTTCTAAATATAAGGACTACAGTACACACAGATAAATTATTGTAGTAACATTAATTAATATCACTCATTTAACAAAACGCATTTTAACGGCTAATTATAATTTATACAGGTTTACATTGTTATTTTTCTGGCCTAACCACCTAACATCAATTATAATACCTAATAAATATCAATTTGAAATATATCTCACAACCAATATTTTACTGTTTATCATCATAAGATTTTTAATAATTATCGCAATATTATTTTGTTTACTACACAGTTCATGGACACATAAAAAATATGTTGTAAGCAAGCATTTACGTGCCTACGTATTTTGAATTTCAAATAATGTTAAGCTAATAAGTTAGAGGCTCTCAAGAGGCACACGCTTACCTAACAATGTTATTTGCAAGGCAGGTGTTTTAAAGTATGTTTAAATATTCACAAATTAACCTTAATAGTAAATTGAGCGAACGTTACTCTTAAAATTATTGTACAAATAAACTGGCTTTATTAAAGATAAATAAGTACTTGCATAACAGAAATATATAGCGGAGAAAGTACTTAACTAGCGAATTTATTTGCGATATATGTTGAAGAGGTTTTATTACGGGTTAGATCAGTCCCGTTAGCATGAGAACCGCGATGTGATATATCGCTCGGTTTTATCACGCCCAATTGTCAAATTACTAGGGAAGTTGACAGTAAGACGCGATAAAAAAAACGTGGTATAATCTTGATATAATGTGCGAAGTTGCGATGCTCTTGCTACCTTAAAATGAGCATATAAACATAAGTAAATTCTCGACCCGCTAGATATAGTAGGCAATACTGTAAAATAAAAACTCACTTCCAATTTTGGTAACTGCCATTTTAACATTAGTTCGATATGCATTTGCGATTCAACTAAGAATATGACCGACTGGGCGCCATATTGTGACGTCATAGCTGTCAATTCAAACAAAATAGGTAGGGTGAGCAAAAAAGAAGTTTTTATTTAATAAACCTAATTTACTTAGATTAAGTGAGGGATACATCCGATTTTTTATAATAGTTTTTTTTACTAAGATTTAAGAAACATTAATCAGAATCCTCTACTACAAGTGGAAGTGTTCCTCTAATAGAAAGAGAAGAAGATGAGAGGTTGCTAGCTTTCTCTCTCTAATCGCGCATGCCTTTATGTAAACGAAAGTTTTAAATCGAGTTTCTGAACGCTACTTAAAGTAACATTTGGTTGACAATTTAGGTTATCAACCATTCATAACCAGAGCTCAATAAATGAAAAAAAATATCAACCAATATTAATAATCAATATTTGTTATTGTTTGTTGACAAATGTTTGGTTTTTATTCTAGAATTAGCCGAGTGCTAAAAATGGGTTCCAAGATTTTTCGGCAAACCGTACTTTTCAAGCGACATTTGACAGGCGGAGGTCATTGGCTTTCCTATTCTTATTTGAATCGCACTTATACTATACGCCATTACACGGCGAAATGTCGCTATGTCTGTAGAAGCAGACAGTATTTTATATTAGACATTTGTTAGAAATCCGAGTACATGAGATCGTTACTGAGATTGCATCTTACAGAATATAATTATGCTTACAGTAAATATTGGATATATATATATTATATACGATAAGTAAAAAGCTTGATTCTCCCTGGGTTGGATCGATATAAAAACCGTAAATGAAACTAGGCAGATTGAGTGTAAGAAAGATGAAGCGATCATGCGGCCAAAAGTTCGTATTTTTGTATAAGTTGCACCATCATCGTTTCTGTCTTTCCAAAGATTCTCTATATTATGTGTATATCTGGGTTTATGACATAAAAAATACAAACAAAATGTGTTAATATAATAGAAACATTAAATTTTAATGCGTTTAATCAACCATGTTACATTACATATAAGAAGTCCAATTCTATAAAAACAAACTCACATTTCACCGCGGATCACCGGTGTGATATAAAATTAATTTGAATTGCCTGTTCTAATTTTAAATCATACCGTGGATTCCGAGGAGCAGTGCATTGCAGTAGGTACACCAAAAAATAACGTCGTAGACGCGCCGGTCCAAACTGGATTTCCCATAGAATGTTGTTGTAATTAATCATAGAGCCATATAGTTGATAGCGATGTCTAATTTAATTAATAACACAAAATAAAAAGAAGGTGAGTTTATTTATTAAACCTCTTTTATACATATAGTATTGACGGAAGTGTGTAACAGGAAGTCGCGAAAGCGCGCGCTATTTGATTTGATTTTAGAACATAATGTTCAAATGTCTTATTCCATTTGTAGTACGTTTTATTTCTTTTTTTACTAATATAAGGTGAGGTTTCAAATGTTACACATCATACGCGACTACTGTAAGGCTCGCTCGTTTTTATTTAGAAAACCGCTTTTCTGTATCTTATCGATTCTAAGGACGCCTGTAGGTATTGGGAATGGTGTGATACAATATGTAATTTTGTTTTTTTATATGAAAATCGTTTAAAAAAATCATAATCGGGCAATTATCAGCATGTCGATTCTAATTTGACAGCTATCGAATTCGGAACTGAGATTTATTTTACAGATTTGTAATATCAATCACATGTTTAACCTCTTATGACGAAGACAGGTATTTGTAATGAGCCATAGTATTTTATGATTCCGACATTAAGAAGTAAACATAAAATAACTGAGGAGTAGCTAATCATTTTATTACGGTTATTCCAAGAAATATGAACATAGATATGAACATGTGTGAAATTAACAACTTAAAGTGGCAGTATCATTTTACAAATAACAAATAAATATTGTTGATGTTTCACAGATGCGGGTTTGAAGCCCGTCTGAAACCTGGACCAAGTAAGTAGATTTTTTTCTAGCAAAATATATTTAAAGCCTTATAATCTTTTTGAGGAGCTCGATGGCACAAGCGGTTAGCGCGTTCGGTTGCGATCGTTGAAGTTAAGCAACTTTCGTAGTGGTCGGTCATTGGATGGGTGACCAAAAATTTACTATCTCGAGCTCCTCAGTGCTTCGGAAGGCATGTTAAGCCGTTGGTACCGGCTGTATCTGCTGTCGTTAGCGCCCGCCAATACGCACTGGGCCCGCGTGGTGGGTCATGGCCCAATCTCCCTATACCATCCATAGGGAAGGCCTGTGCCTGTACAGTAGGGATATTAATAGGCTGATGATGAATCTATTTTATAATTTATGTTGAATAGATGTGCTATTTGAAAGAGAATTAGCAGAGATAAGCAGCAACATCAAAAGACTCAAACGAAAAGATGTTCTCGATGACTAAAAGGGGGTTAAAGCTTGTTCATTTTGTTTTGAAAATTGTTTCTTGCTATTTTGGGACTTATCTTTACACTTATTGTTAGTAAATTCGTTGATTGTCTATTGTTACTTATTTGACATTATGTGATGGAAGTTGACCTCAACACATGTTTGCAAGTTTGATGTCAACTTTCAATTGGACGACACTGTATGAAATAAAACAGGGAGAAAAAAGCAGCCCTTGCTGAGTTTCTTGCCGGTTCTTCTCAGTACAAGGTCTCCCGCCGTAGATTTGCGAACCGATGGCGTAGCTTTTCGACATTCACAAGTGCTTGTAACAGCCTAGACTGAATAAACGATATTGAATTTGACGACCTCCGTGGCCGAGTGGTTTGTACGCCGGGTTTCATGGTGTCGCCGACTCGAGAGGTCCCGGGTTCGAATCCCGATGGGGGGCAGATGTTTGTGTGATGAATACGAGCATTTGTACTCCAGTCATGGATGTTTAATATGTAATTCTATATAAATATTCTTATATATGTACTGTATATGTATTCTATCCGTTACCCTAGTATCCCATAACACAAGCCTTATAGTGCTTACTTTGGGGCTAGGCTAATTGGTGTGTTAAAAAAAAAAAAAAAATTGAATTTGATGGATTTGCTTCTCTCGAACGTGATTAACAACTCAACAAAATTACTTATATATTCTGTAGTGCAGTAAACTCACTTCTCACCTCAGAATCCGCGGTGTGGTTTAAAATTAGAACACGAATTTCAAATTAATTTCTAATCACGCGCGAGTG